CTTCACGGTCGTACGTAACTGGCTAAGAATAGAGACCTTTAGGACAGGAGTTCTTGTTTCGTGACTCGTGTGAGAGCCAAAAATCCTCTTCTGCTCGAGAGGGGCATAAACACGAAAACATCAAGCCTATAGAAGCAGGCACTGAGCTGCCTGATGGTGTAATTTGGGCCTGTAGAACTTAAAAAAATTAAAAAAATGTAAATCGTTTATCCTACTCCATCATTAAAGGGTGTTTCCTGCTGTTTAAGTGCTTCTTGTAAGTGTCCTACAGCCGCAATGAAACAATGTTTCATTGTTAAGCATGTACGTATCTTTTGAAAGAGAAAACCTTTTCTGTTTACCTGTGTGTGGCTATATTTAAATGGTACAATATTCAGTGTTGATGTGACTGCTGCTAATTACTTGCATTTAGCCTGTCTCTCCCGGGTAACTCCACCTTTGTGCTTTGGAGTTATAGCTCCCTGGAAATCCTTTATTAATAAGAAAAGGGATGTGACCATGTAGGTGTGGAGGAGCAGGGTGGAAAGAGCAAAGTGGTAGCCCAGATGTTTTGGAGAATACTAAAATCATATGAAATATGAATGCTTGATACCAGGTAATGTGAGACATCAGAGTGTGGGCCTAGGTAAAATGTGCAGAGTGCTCAGGGAGTACGGCACTGTATCAGGTTTGCCTGATAAACTAGTAGTCAGCTCCTCCACCTGGATCTTCTCTGATCACATTTTTCATTTGGAACAAGGTGAACTACTCTTGAAAGTAGTTATCTGTTGTAAAAGTGTCTAGACCTCAAATGCCTGAGAAAGCCATCATCTGTCTCTGCATTTTTTGAACTACCCATAGGTGTCAGACGTTTTAAGAGAAGAAACCTTGCTGAATTTTGAACTGTTTTTTTGAACAACTTTTGTTTGGTTGGATCAGATTTTGCTTTCCACCAAGACTTCCTTGCCTTGATGGTGTTACAGAGCCAAGGCTTTTGATTGTTGAGTTTCCACAACAAATAAAAACCACCGTTTATCACTTGATTAATTTTAAAATACGATTTTTAACTTTTTAATTTCTAGGTGGGAACCACAAAGTTGAACAGCAATAATCATGGGAGATGCTGCAAAACCCTTCTTTGCCAAGCAGAATAAGGAACAAGAAACTTTGTATCAACAGGAGCAAAAAGGAAGACCCTTGCAGAAAGACGGCCAAGTCATGGATGAATATGGAAGTGGCTACAGCTATAAAACAGATACCAGTCTGCAAAAGAAAAAGGGAATGCTGGGTCATTACGGAAGCAGTCCTAGGCGAGGGCCTCGTGGTGTGTTCAGTAGTCCAAATTCATTTAAAAGCACAACTTACAGTCCCGGATCAAAGTTAAATGATATTCAGAGAGACCAAATGAAGAAGCGGTCATCTGATGACCACCATGGTACTTCTGACAGCTGGAGAGAGTACAGGTCTGTTGCCTGGAGTACTGTGCACAGCAGGACAAGGAAGGACTCTTTTCATGAGGTTGAAGGGTCTGGAAACAGAAATGTAAGACGACAGCTTCAGGAAGACTTAATGAGTGAAGATATGCTAGACATGCAGAAAGGAAGATCTGGTAATCAACATGTTTGTTTTTGCATAGCTATCCAGTAAAACAGCTTTCTGTGTATGTTACTGAAAAGTAAAATTTCAGGATTCACTGTTAGAGGAGAAGAACCTTTTCATATATTACAAACTTTTGATTGTATTATATGGCAGCATTTTAAACAAATCACTACAGCAAATGATACAGAGCTTGTTTTGTACGTTCTGTCCTCATAAGTTAGTTTGTAAGTGGTAGAGGTTAGTAGTTTGCAACATCTGTGTGATGTCCGTTTGCAGGTTTTCAGGTAGAATTTGATCGAATTTCTCAAGGCTAATAAGGGATGTTTCAGTTAAGTTGATAGGGGGTAAGATTTTATTGCTACCAATGGCATCTATAAGAATGTACCTTCAGAAGGATCCAAAACACTGCCTCATAGGTAGTGTGAGAACTTAGTACTCGCAATGGTTATACAGCAATAACACAAAACTAATTTTCCATGCTTATTGGACTTCACTATGGGCAATTAGTACAAATACTGTGTGTACAAGCCATAAGAACTGAAATGCAAGGAAGAACAAGGTAAGGGAGGGTGAGGTGAGTATCACGACATCTTCATTGAATGTGAGCAGCAGAAGGAAGCATAAGTAGATCAAAGCAGGAAGGGAAAGCGTTAAAGAAGATAATATAGTTAGATAAAATAAGAAAGACCAGGGCACAGAGAAAGGTGCTGTTGACAGTGAACAACTGCCTGTTAGCAAGAAGTCTGTCTTGCTTTAGATAAGACTGGACGCCAAAACGGTATTGATCTGCCCTGAGAGAGGAAAGCTATTACTAGCTGATACCAGGAAGTCCCAGGAAATTAATGTGCTTTCCCTTGTGTCCTGGTTCATATCCTGCAGCATATTGTCTGCAGACTGTCTGCTTCCAGCAGTGATAACGCTCTGCGTTTAGAGTTACTACTAAGGATTGGTGTGCAGACCATGGCCACTGCTAAGGTTGTGTACCACATGGTGTGGGGCAGAAAGTAAAGCTGCACCTGCAGGGAGGAGCAGACAAGACAAGTGACCCTAAAATTGCCCAGTGGGGTATTCCATCCCCTGTGCGTCATGTGCAGTAGGATCACGAGGGCCAAGCCCCTTCCTCCCTTTTGCTGCTCCTGCAGTGGTCGGCATCTGAGGAGGACTCCGTCCATCCTGCCTTTGATCCCCAGCCCTGTGCTCCTGAACAGAGTTCCAGAATCCAGCTCCTGTGCCCAGTTGCTGTGGTAGTAATTCTAAATATGGAGTGTTATCACTGCTAAAAGCAGTCTGTGAAAATATGTTGCTAATTTCAGACAGGGCAGTTAATTAGAAGAAGCTTTAGCTGAAAGTAAAATCATTGAACAGAACCAGCTCTGTTCTACCCCAAACCAAGACACCTTGATATCAGCTGTCACTAAAATGATCAACTACTCCCATAGTTGTAGGAGCTCTTTGGAGCAGGGCTGGTTTGTGGAAACACTGTAAAAGCTCTGTACTGATAAGCTAAACTCCTAGATAAAAGTGCATGATTTTATAAACAGTTTGTAAAATAACCATGGCAACTTCCTTTCAAATTGTAAGACTTCTCAAATCATTCAAGTGGCATTTTTGGCAAAGGAAGAAGGAGGCAATTCACAACTCAGTGATCCTTGCAAGACTTTTAAATATTTTTACTTTTCTTTAAAAAAAAAAAATTTAAATAAATTTCAGTGGCCATCTATTTCTCTAGCATTTGCCTAGTGTCTCCTTGAGATGTGAGTTTCATGCTTGAGCTCAGCCTCAGGTGAGGAGAGTGCAGAGTAGAATGCTTTCACAAGTTTGTTCTCAAATTTGCAAGTGTCTCTTAAAAGTGGAATAAAAAAAACGTTATGCAATTTTAACCTTAGGAATTTGTTCTGGAACAAATAATGTAACCTACTGTAAGTATTCCAGAGGTAACACAGAGATGACTAGCAGGAAACATGAATTTCTCAAGAAAAAAAACATGCCAAGTCCTTCTGATTTATTATAAAGTAGTGATAGGTCCCCAATGGACCTGGGAGAAGCAGGTGATAGATACCACTAGTAGTGGTTCTGTAGTGCTTCAGACACTCTTATGTGACAGTTCTCTGAGTAAACTAGAGGAAAATTCTCTAGGTGAAATTAGTACAACAGACCTGCAGAGCTAATTAGATAACTATACCAAAAAATTACTTACCAAAGATTTTGTCAAAATGATAGGAAGCACTGAGCAAGTATCTATGAGGATTCTGTTCTGGTCGATATTTTTTACACTAATCTGATGATGACTGAAGACAGCATGCTTATTAGTTGTGTACTCTTAAAGTTGAATGTCCTGTGGAGCTGGTATGAGTTGAATGCAGAAGAGCAGGAAGATCAATTAAAATAACTTGGCACAACTGTAGAAATGACCTACATACAGGATGAAATACAGAAGACATGTGCAAATGCCACTGTTTAAGTAGGACTGTCAACCATAAAAACAAAGGAGGAAAAGTTATGATGGAGTATTTTTTTTCAGAGAAGAATCTGACATTGTAGGGAATCAGATGATGATAATGAGTAGCCAGTTTTTTGGTGGTGTGAGGCATGAAAACAGACCACAGCCTGAAGTACTCTTTCTGTAAGTCTTGGTAAGTTCAGTTGCAGTATGCTGTCCAGCTTTGGCACCCCACTTGAGTGAATAAAATGGATACAGTCCAAACAAGAGCAAGAAGAATGCTAGGGCACATAGAAAACAGAAACTGCACAAACTGTTAACAATCCCTGGTCTTTCTGTGAAAGTGTAGGGAGGCATGATAACAGTCTTCAGATGTCTAGAAAGGTATTAGAAAGCTGACACGGTAGCCTGGCTTGCATCTTTCCAATAGATGGGAAACAATGGGCCTAAAACTGAGCAAGAAAAATTCAGATGAGGATTAAAGGGAAAGTTTCTAATGGTAAAGCTAGGGAAGTACTAGAGAGGTTGTTTGGGCAGTTCGTGGAGTACCTAACTGGAGGCCTTTAAGAACAGGTTAGGTGTGTGTTGCTCAGGATTGACAAAGTTAATTTCATTCCATTGTGATGCACAGGAGGGGTGTAGCTCACCTGGAGGTCTTTTGAAAAGCCCTAGTGCTATGTCAAGTAGCAAACAATTACTAAAAGTGTTTCTTTTGGCATTTCCTTTTACTTGAAATCTTCTATGCCGTTGTCCCTTTCCTTTACTTTTATGCATTTTTACTGTAGCTCATAAGGAATGAGTTTACCAGATCTCTAAGGCACTTTTTTTTTCTGCAGGAACTTTAACTTTACTTTAGGATAATGGCTAAATAAATTACTAAATGAGATTATCAGGACAGTAGCTACCAAGTATTAGAGTTATTTACTTTGTAATTTTTGTTAGATTACTTGGTGGCTACAGAAATAATTGGTAAGTAGGTAGTTGTCAAATCCTTTCCTGCAAAGACCTTAATTTAATACGCGTTTTTCTCCAAGTTCTGTCTACACTGCTCAGTGAAAATGTAGTCAAACTGTGGCAGCTCTTAGGAGTTTGAGCAGGAGAGTCAGCGTGGGAACTCCACAGGATGTGTAGAGTTCAGAGACTCAGACTTCTCTTTCTGCTCCTCGGAAACAGTTCTGTTGGAGTACTCTCCCTGCAACCTGTGAAGCCTTAGTTCTGTTTGTTCCAGCATACACTTGTTCTGCTGGTGAGAGAAACTGTACTACCATTCTTGCCCTTGTCCTGTTTACACCACCAGCACATGCACGCTGCTCAGTGAACTGAATCAAACAACTGTTTGAAAGTACATAGCAGGGTTGTTTCCCATTTGCCAATTACTGGAGACAAAAATTGGGGTCACAGGAAAGAAACTCTGTAAATGTATTTGATAGAGCAGTTGTCTTTGGTTTTTGTGGGGTTTTTTGTTTGTTTTGTTTAATTATTACAAATTAAAATCTCATGTTATCATAAGGGTTTTAGTGTCTAAGGGAGTTACATAAACTTTCTTAGAAACAAGGAACTTTAGAAATATCATGCATCTGGACATCCTGTATTATCCTGAGCGTATGTTCAAATCAAAGACTAAACAGCTTATGAAGTAATGGGTGAAAATCTGGCTTATGTGTATATTCATTCCTGAGGTTAATTTTACAGATATTCTTTGGACTAGTTGCAATTCCCACTTTAAAAAGATGACAAAGTTTGTGTAAAAGTGGAAGTGGTATTTACATTAATTTGTGCCAGAAATTTTGCTGTAAACATAGGTGTGTTTATTCTGCCAATTTCATAACATTATTAAGCAACGTGTGCAGGTACTTTGCAAGTTCATCATTTTTTGACTTGTGTAGCAAATAGAAGCTTTATTTTTACTTGTCTATATGTGAAGGCAGTACTCTCCCATATGCTAATTTAATTGAAAGGCGAGTGACACTGACAGGCAGTTATTACTGGTGATAATAAATTTTATGTCAGCTAAGCCATGGCAGTGCTATGTCATAGTGCTGTAGCTCTTACAAATCATTCACATTGGCCTACACTCACTAATTCTGCGGTGTTTGTAGTGGTCTGTGGGTCAGTTCACTTTCTAGCTTTTTCATCCACCTAAACCTGACCAGGCGTCCTGAAATCTTCAGATACATTGTACCTTTTCATTGCAATGACATACAGGTATGTCTCAACCAGGCAGTGAAATCTATTGCATTTAGGTGGGGTTTTTTGGTGTGTTTGTTTGTTTGTTTGTTTTGTTTGTTTGTTTGGTTTGGTTTTTTGCTAGTTTTAACAAAGCTATCTAAATAAGGTCAGTGACTTCAATGGGCCAAATTAGCGTTTCTTGGTATCTTGGAAAAAAGGTACTGTAGATTGTGGCATAAATACACACTCTTGCTGTTCTCAGACTTGCATAGAACCGATTATGAAACCATCCAGGGTGGATGACTGTGTTCTCTTTGACTCACACATAAGTAAAATGGTAGTTGAAGAAAAAATGCTGTATGGTGCTCTGAATTTTTTTATATATTTGCTCTCATAACTCTTTATAAGAAATGAAGAACCTTAGGAAACCAAGAAGATTGAGAAGAACTAGAAAAGATGAGTATGATCAAGATGAATTGGATGGTCCAGTGATAGATGAATCTGTGCTGTCAGCAAAAGAACTTCTAGGGTTGCAGCAAGCTGAAGAACGCCTGAAACAAGACTGCGTTTATAGACTGAAAAAGGTGCTACTGTCTTTACCTGTATAGTCCTCTATTTTTTTTGTCTGTAAATACAATACAGATAGTACACTTTGACCAATTTCTCAGACTGTAGCTAGCAAGTCTAGTTATAGAATTGATACAACATACAGAAAAGGTGCTGTTAACAGATTGTGAAGAGAAGGCAGGTTGTCCTTTGTTTTGTTTTGTTTTGTTTTTCTAACAAATCTTGATTTGGCACCAATTCAAGTACAAAAAATGGCTGCTCCTTTACTTCATGAATTAACATCAGATCTCTAGATACTGGAGCAGTGGACCAGAAAAGTTCTGTTGTAATTTTCTTCAGTTAATATGTTCTTCCATAGGCATTGGGTATTTTCCATTGTAAAAGACAAGGTGTTGGACTTGAGTGACCCAGTGCCACCATTCTTCTGGCATTATATCTGATATGCAGACTCTTTGTAAAGGTGGAGTTAAGAATGCTAAAGTGAGTGTTTCTGAGAGTCAGTTACCATCATTTAACTTAGCAAGGGTATTGAATGAAATGAAGGTAATATCTTTCTGTATTTTAGGGTTTTTTACTATCTTTATTTTAGCAACCTCGAAACTGCCCGTCAGCAAAATATACCTGCAAATTGTGTGATGTTTTGATTGAGTCGGTGGCTTTTGCTCATAAGCATATTAAAGAGAAAAGACACAAGAAAAGCCTAAAGGTGAGTTAAAGACAAGCAAAAGTATAATTTAAAATGCAGATTCATGAAACTGTCCTCACTCTACTAACCCTACTAATGACTGAAACGGCACTGCTTCTAAAATCACTCCACGTTTTTTTACTCTGTTTAAATCTTCTTAAAAACTATTACTTAGTGATACTGGTAAAAAGAGTAAACTTGGGACCTGGACTTTGATTTGTACTTTTTCATGCCTATTATTAAGGAAAGAAGTCCTCATTTAAAGTATAGCTCAGTAACATTTTGTTACTGGTGACTGGAGTATAATAAAAAAGCTGTACCAACTGACTGCTGTTTTGGTGTTCTGTAATTCTTCTGGTGGATTAGTTATGTGTATTCTTCTTGGTGTGTGTTTGATTGGCATATTTCAACAATGAAGAGTTTTGATCAAGTCCAGAGCAATGAGGAGTAGCAATAAGCAAATACAGTTAGTATGGCAGAGTTTAAATACTGTAAAAGTGAAGAACTTGTGGGCTATTACAGATTTGTTTATATGTGAAAGAAATAGGTTTGGAACACAAACATCAAAGTAACTTCCAACATAACCTCAATTTTACTTCCTATTTTTTTTTAATTACATGTCTTCTATACTTTTTACTTCCTCAGCTTGAAGCAGACAAAAATATTTATCTTCTGCAGGTTTTCTGTCTCTTACTCTTCAACTCCTACCCTTTCCCATTTCACAAGTGATAAAAGAATTGTTGGCCTCCTTTTATAATTCCAAATAGATGTGTGTGTATATATATATCTTTTCTCATTACTGAATCCTTCTGGAATGTCTAATTCTTTATACCTGTCAAAGTTTCTCTCTTGATGTTCTTGCTTCCAAATACCTCCATTATCTGGAAAACCTGTGGTGGTGTAACTTGGGGTGAATTGCAGGCATTCATTCTAGCACATTAAACAACTCAAGAAAATCATTATAACATTGGCGTCACTGTCTTTAAAGGAGAAGCAAGAAGAACAGCTGCTGACTGCCCTGCCTCCTCCAATACCTGCCCAGATACAAGCTATTGGTTTTGCTATTGAAAACGTAGTGCAGGAGTTTGGCTTAAGTAATGAAGACCTAGAAGAAAGACTCAACATTGTAACAGTGATGGAAAACTTACTGCGTCAAAAAGTGCCAGGTATTGTTTCCACATTTTTTTAAATTCTAGATATGGCAACTTAAAAAACAAACGAAACAGAAAAAAAAAAAAAAAAAAAAAAAAAAAAAAACAAAAAAAAAAAAAAAAAAAAAAAAAAAACCCACCTGCAAACAGCGCATAAAGTTAAATTTTCATTAAAAACCTTGCATAGCTGTATTCTACAACATTATACTTAGTTACTAGTGTGTTTAATGACATGATGTGGCAATAAAACCGTCTTTCAAAGTTAAATTGTAATGGTGCTCATGACCCAAGCAGACCTGTAGTAATAAGTGAAGCTGAACAGGACATGGGTGGACATTTAACAGGCAGGATTTACTTGCACAGTGTTGTGGTGTTGGAAGACCCTGCTTCATTTCCTGTGGTTACCAAAAACTAGATGTAGGTGTAAGATCTACTGACAATGCTGTAAAGTAGCTCCAGACTTATAATTAGGTACAGAGTAAATGCAATATAATTGTTTTTGTTGCAGAGTGCTCGTTAAGATTGTATGGCTCCTCCCACAGCAGATTTGGTTTCAAAACTTCAGACATAAACATAGATATTCAGTTTCCTGATGATGTAAGTAAGACGATTTTAATAAGACGTCGCAGTGGTGTTGAATGTTTGTGCCTTCACGTAGATTATAGTTTAGCTATAACTTACAGTGTGGTAGTAGCAGTTTTTATGAAAATGCATTGAGTATAATGGAGCTATCACATGAAAATGTTCTTAAAATGACAGTCCTTACTTCATACGCCAGTAATAGTCAGGCAGTATAGTATGGCTTTGTGTTCCATTGAATCTTCCTTCTGAAAAACTGAAGACACTTAAAACTCCTAGCAGTCCTGTGAGATCACTATTTATCTTCTCTTACAGCTGGATTAAATTGCACTTTCATGTCCTTGTTCCTGTACTGATACATGCGCATCAGAGGATTTCATTGATAGGTTACTTTTGAATCATGGAACCATCAGATGTCATTGGCACAGTTAGCGTTGGGGCTGCCCCCACACTGGTAACAGATGCTCTCTGTTAACTCTCCTTCCCCCCCGGCAAGGGGAAGAGAAACGGAGTAAAGGAGAGAGACTTATCGGTTAGAAAAGCAAAACAGCTTTAATGAAAATGCTATTACTAATAATAGTAATAATAAATGAAAAAACGGAATATACACAAAACCAGTATTGAACCCAGCTCCCCCCGATGTCAATAGGTCACCATCACCCCCGGTGCTGTGGAGCAGCCCCTGGGGAAAAGTCCCAGGCTGGACTCAGGGGCAGAGGGGAGCTGGGCACAGGAGCTGGATTCTGGAACTCTGTTCAGGAGCACAGGGCTGGGGATCAAAGGCAGGATGGACGGAGTCCTCCTCGGATGCCGACCACTGCAGGAGCAGCAAAAGGGAGGAAGGGGCTTGACCCTCGGGGGAGGGGGGTGTTCCCCCATAATCCTTCTGCTTTTTTTTTTTTTTTTTTTTCCTGCCACCCTCCATGTGATACAGAAGCTTTAGCAGTGACCTTGGTCTTGGTGATAGCTCTAAACATGGAGCGTTACCACTGCTGGAAGCAGACGCTGTCTGGAAGAATATGCTGCTCACTTCAGACAGTGCAGTTAGTTAGAAGAGCTTTAGATGAGAAGTAAAATCACAGAACAGAATTAGTTCTGTTCTACCCCAAACCAGGACAGTCATTTTTATGTGAAATAAAGTCTTCATTTGTCATGTTAGTTATTTCTCTGAATCCTTGTTCTCGAACATTGGAAAGTAAGTACTGTGAAAAACTTTTTGGTTCTGCACTTATGCTGCTGTGGTTGATGTGGCAGTCTCATAAGTAAAATTTGGCATTTCCTTTAGGAAACAAAGGTGAAAATGTTGTAGAGAGAAAGATATACGTTCACAAAGTTCATGTAATTTAAGAAATGCTATGATTGCAATCTTTGATGTGAGCTGGACCCACTATATCAGTAGGCAGTCATATTTATGCACACTGAAACTGTATTTCTCTCAGTGCTTTTTTCCACAACTAAGTCCCTCATAGAGGTAAAAATAGCTTTACTTACAGTTACCTCAGGATTTTTTTTACTGCAAAATAAACAAAGATGGTGTTCTTTTTGATACCATTTATCAATAATCCTGAACCAAGAGACATTTCAGCTGCTGTTACTTTGTTTTCTTCATGCTGCTCTCTCCGGACAAAAAACAGAAGTGGCCTAGGGCAATGTTTTGCATTTTATTTTAGTTGCAGCATTCATTTTTTGACAGCTATGAAAACAGCTTTATTACTTTTATTGACAGATGACTCAACCAGATGTTCTCTTACATGTGCAAGAAAGTCTCCAGAACAGTGGTAAGAAAAATTTGCTGCCTTCTCAATTTCATTAAACTATTACTGCTTAATATTGTTGAATTCCACCTCTGTCGAACAGGTAAATGACATGCTACTATTTTTTTAGAAAGATGCAAAACTGAAAAATGCTGGAGGAAATAATACATTGCCAGAACTAACTTTGGTCTGGTATTCAGCTTTTGACTGTTGAATTTCATTATTTTTATTGATGCAAGAAATTCCTAGTGGGAGGTTTTCTTTTACATCACAAGTGAAGGTGTCATTAAAAGTTAAAGTAGACTGTACTGCCTGCCTTTTCCCCAAATGCTGTTAGCCATGTATGGTACAGGAAGTGGCCTAAGCTCTTCTAACGTGATTAGAAACATTGTAACATACTTTCAGATTGTGGCCTCTTCTATAATAATGCGCATGTGCCTGTCAGTGCAGTGAGACCAGGTACTAATGACATTTCTCAGGTAATGAATACAACTCTCTGGACTAATACAAGCAAGTAAAGTTCATGGTCTTAAATGCACTTATTCAAACCAATTCAAGTATACACAGGCAAAAAAAAAAAAAAAAAAAAAAAAGAGAAGATGGGAAAGAAGTTCTGTCTTTAAATGCAGATTGCAAAAGTAGCTTTACTATTTTCTTGCCTTGCTTTATGCCCACATTTGGGAAATCAGACTGTATGGTTCCAAATGTATATTAAACATGCATCTATTTACTGACCCAGACTTTTCTCATTGCAACCCCGATCATCTGTGCATCTTGTTGTCTGGTCAAAGGACCATTGTAGTCTTTGAGAATGGAGTTATTTTTCAGCCAGACTGGAGGAATGAAGACCCAGATCAAAGAAGTTAGGATCTCAAGTGTGCTTTGAAAGCCAGTAATACATGCATTAGCATCTTGTGAAAAGCCACCTTCTGTGAGTCAGAAGATACAGGTACAGAGCATTAGGCACTTGAGGTATCTCAGTGGCAGAAGCAAAATGTCTTCAAAGAAGTCAGGTATCCAAATGGCCATGTAACATCGAGAAAACCTTGTCATTTCAGAATTTTTGACTTGGGTATTTAAGATTATTTAGCAGCTGCCTCTCTATCTGGTGCAGTGAAACAGTGAGGCATCAAAAAATAAGCCCAGTTTGGATCAATGAACTCTGTGGATGACATCTGTGCTTTTTTAGTGTTAAGACAAAAAAGCAGTTGAATCGTAAACGGTATAAAGAATAAGAGGAAAAAATAAGAAATATAGCAAGAAGACATCACATCATGTCAGTAAGCCTGTTCTCTACTTGCATAGAGTGTTTCTAGATTACCAGGGAAAATAAACTTGGATACTTACTTTGTCTAGCGCAGTCATAATGGTCTGGGTTTTTTAATCTTTCACACGAGCATTGTAAAACAGCCTGTAATTGTTTTAGAGATGTCATTGGTTTGTCCATATGCCTGGATTACTGAAGCCAGCACTTAACCAAAATATACCTGCTACATTACATCTACTGTGTATATGAATTTTGAAAAATACCTTTTTTTTTTCTTGACGAGTTTCTTAACAGTGCTTATCATGGCATATAGGCCATACTCTCCACATATGAAAAACTTGCTAAAAGAGTGGCAGGATTAATCTGTCAGATGTGCTGCATTATTTGTCTCAAAATCAGTTTATTAAGAAGTTGAACTTCTAGCTGTATGCCTGTAATTGCATCCAGTTTATTTTTTTGTTGTTGTTGTCAACACCGTGCTTAACATGACTTATTTTTCTTTCTCCTGCTCAGAATCTTTTACGGAAGTTGATGCAGATTTCCATGCTAGAATACCACTGGTGGTGTGCAGAGAAAAGCAAAGGTCTCAGTTGTCACTTTGTGTGTTCTAATAGTATATTGCAATGTAAAATATATGTACAAACATCTGAAATATGGCGTTTCTGTACTAAGTTATTACAGTTCCATGGATCTTGAAACAAACTAACACTCATGGGCAACTCATTCCTAGCCTAGAATAAGAGGGTAAGGGTTGTTCCGTCCTCAGCTGTGTATTTCCCAATCCCTTCAAACGTTACAGCTTCCAGCATGTACCCTTACCCTTCCATTTGGGATAACTGCTTAAGGAGCAACTTCCCTTCCTTATAGGTGGGAGAGATACCATACGAAACTACAGATTTCTCTAAGAGCAGGATCAGCTTGCTGTGCTTCACTAGTGTTTCGAGAAGTGAAAGACATTTTATTTTGCCCATTTAACAGATATCACTTAAGATTCATGAAACATTCTGTAAACAGCTACTGATATTGAAATACTACCATTTATTTGCTGCTGTCTTGATCTTTTGCTGTTTGGAAATGTTTCTTCAGCTGTGGAAATGGCAGAAGCTGTTTTCTGATGGGTGTGGTATGGGAAGATGGCTTTGATTCGTGAAAGGTGTTGGTACTGTAATTTCAATGAATTAATGTCATTAGAGACAAATATTAAATTTGGATTGTATTTGAAAACACTTCTACAGAAAATTATAATGCCTCTATTTCAAAAGTGATGATAAGTCAAATTGGTTTTCCGTGCTTCTTTTAATGTAGCTACAGTGCCTTGGAGAGGCTGTGAAGTATTTTGTTACAGTTTTCTGCTACACTGTTTTGTGAGAAGTTATCTGACTGTTCTTACAAAACCTCCAAAATCTTTTACTTTGTTTCTTTTTGGGTTTCAGTGGCCTTATTTGTATAGTGAGTGCAGGGAATGAGAATGCTTGTCTGACAACAAACCATTTGGCTACACTTGGAAAACTGGAACCTACAGTAGTACCTTTAGTGATCGCCTTCAGGTACTGGGCAAAGGTAGGAGTCATTTGTTTTCCCCCTTCTTTGGGTAGATACTGAATGAGCACTGATATTGTGCTGGTAAGACTGTAGGTATGGTTTAGAAAGCAGTTGTTGAAAATGTCTTTAGAAAAAAAAAATTTGGAAAAAGGATATTTGATTTTTTTTTTCTAATAAAGCGTACATTTTATAAATTATGTAATGATCATTTTTGTGTTATAATGTTCCAAAGTGGAATTTTAAGCTTTAGCCAGTCGCATGCAGACTCTTAAGTATCCTGTTCTGTAACCAAACAAGTAATGTATATGAATGGGAACATATATGAAATGGAATTACCAGTTTCCCATAAACTTAATCATGAAAAAAACTAATGGAGAAAGCTGCTTGTTTCCTTATGTAGATGAAAACTTTATTTTTCATTAAAATAACTTGTTGTGCCTGCAGCTAAAATATAATTTAAGAAAAAGATTGAAAATCTTTTGACTTTTCCTGTGTCTACATAAAATGACTGATCATTTTTGCAAACGTGCTATATGCTGTCTTTTTGCCAGTCTGCGTGCTGTGGCTCTTACACTGAAAATATGGTAATAACATGATTCCAGTAAATATGCAGGCCTTGAGAGTAAAGCCTCTCTCATAAGAGCTCAGACATGTCTGAGTTTCTATCACTATTTAATGTGACAGGCTTCTGAAGAGCTACTAAAATAGTGTTTTTTCATGGTATCACTTGAAACCTTAATGGCTCCACAATTTATTTTTACAGTTGTGCTGTATTGATCGTCCTGAAGAGGGAGGCTTGTCACCTTATGTCTTCGCTTTAATGGTTATTTTCTTTCTACAACAGAGAAAAGAGCCTTTCCTACCTGTCTACTTGGGATCGTGGGTATGTGTATTAGTACACCGAAGAGTATGAATGAGAGAACCAGTCACTTGTGATGGTGTGTAACCTGTCAGCTTCTTGCTCCTATGAGCAAGCCCCAAGCCAGCCATTTCTGTAGGAATTCAAAAAGAATGTGAACTCAGCCAGCCTATGCCTAACCTTTGTAGGCTTGGCTGTAAGGGTGCAATTCACAGTCTTAGTCATTGGATTAAATGCTCTGTTGACCCTTTTGCGAGTAAGGGGAATGGGGCATTGAATAATGCACTTTATAGCAATCTACTTCCTCATTTCTTCAGCCTTTCTTCCAGATTTTGGAGAACTCTGAATTTGCATGTTAAAATCAAAGACATTGTTTCGGGATGTAGCTATCTCATTCTTCAAAATGTAGACCACAGCTGAGGAGCACGCTGGTGTGGTATCCGCTCAAGGCATCAGACTACAGAGTTAAAGCCTGTGTTTCTTGGGTTTAGAAGCTGAAATACATCTAAATATCAGGACCTGTGTTATGGACACAAATCCAGAATCCAGTTTTCCAGGACACTGTTCATATACCATATTCGTGGCACCCATTTTTGTTGTTCTTGTCAACTGTTAATTTTAGTGTGCGTTTTCCAGTTTCCATAACCAATTGTACAGGCCTTGCAGTTAGCAGTTTCATTCCCAAAATTCTCCACCCTCTGCACTGAATGAGAAAAATGTCCTATAGTATATGGCCATACAATTTAAAAATACATACTTATGCTTGTGTAATGTACAAATACAAGATTCTGTGACATGGATACCCTTCTGAAAGCACTGAGCTCTTGAGAGGTTTTTGTAGAGAAGTATAACAACAAGAAAAAAGCAGAGTGGGGCATATTCTAGAGCTGGAACAGCTATTTTTAAACTTTCTTCTGTTCGAATTTGGCTTACTACCATGTAGGAGATAAGTATTTAAAGTTCACATGATGTTTAGCTGCATGGTTCTCTTTTTGTTTCTTGTAGATTGGAGGATTCTCAGTAAGCAAATTAACTAATTTTCATCTGAAGGAAGTCGAGAATGATGCTGTGGTTTGGGAGTATAACCCCAGTGATGATTCTGATTTGCCAGAAGAAGCTTCCCCTAGAAGGGGCAAGGTCTGACCAATTTAATTTGCTTCAGTAGTATTCCAACTGTTGTTGCTGTTCCTGAAAGAGCAACAGTCTCCTGTTTTTGTTTTGTGTTTATGTTGCAAAACCATGAGCTGAAGTAAGATATGGCATGACTGCTTGATACAAGGCTTACTGTGCTTGCTTCTTGGTGCTGAGAAGCTAGCCAGAAACTAGGTGTTATTTCAAACTCTTTAAAACCCTGGCCTTTAATCTGTCAGGGGAGAATATAGAGTTGAAGCAATTTTATCTTAGAACTAGGCATATGAAAAATCCTTCCTTTTGGCTTTGCACAGTTCTTAAAAATTATTTTATAAGAGCTTTGCAAAAAACAGCATCACTGTACAATAGCACATTATAACTGTTAAAAATACAGTTTATGCTTTGCTAAAAAGCGGACTATACATGTCCATTAGATTAGATGTGGTGTTTTCTTGGAAATTGACAAATTATTGCATAAACACTTAAATAACCAGTTTTTATTGATTCTGTTCTTTACACATGCTGCAGTCTTTCATTTTGAAGTTTTATAATCTGTGTTTATACTATCTCCTCCAACGTGAGTTGCAGTTTTTATCGCAGTTGCAGGAGTATAGAAGCCACTATAAATTTTGTAATATTGCATTATAGATTGAATATGAGGAAGTATAACAACTAAACACCTGTGCATTAAATATTATTTAAGCTTTTCTTCTGCAATTGACAGGTTCCCTTAGTATTTGACTCAGGACAGGAGCGTTCAGTACCTGTTGGTCAGCTGTGGGTAGAACTGCTTCGTTTCTACGCCTTGGAGTTCAACATGGCTGATCTTGTTATTAGCATACGACTCAAGGAAACGGTGTCTCGTGAGTCAAAGGACTGGCCCAAAAAGCGCATTGCTGTGGAAGGTATTTATCTCTCTCTATATATACACACATCAACAAACTTTAGAGAACTTCTACTTTAATTTTCTAGGGTACTGCTATGGCTATTGATATTGTGCGTAGTAATTTAGCCATCCAGTATAGAAAACTTCTATTCCCAATAATAAGAGTAGAATGTTTTGAAAAAAAAACAATTTAATATTTCTCTTGGATATTTTTCAACAGTATTGAAAGTAATTAAGTGGACTTTAAGATTGTCTTCAGCACAATTCATAAATCTTATGTTCCTACACAATGTTTTAATGTAATAGTAATATATTCAAATTTTGTAAGAATATGTGTACTCTATTTTTTTTTTTTTAAATGTTAACTCCTGCACTGCTGGCTCTCTTGTCCTTTCTCCTAGACCCATATTCAGTCAAAAGGAATGTGGCAAGAACTCTGAACAGCCAGCTAGTGTATGAGTATATTCTTCACTGTCTGAGAGCAACTTACAAGTATTTTGCCTTGCCTCACAAAAAAAGTGCAAAACAGAGCAAAAAATGCTCACCAAATGACAGTGAAGAGAAATCTCAAATGCTGGAACATGGAAAAGATGCTATAAAGTGTGAAGATTACGAGTTGCAAAACTTGGATGGTAGAACAAACACAACAGTGGTGGAAGATTGTGTAATGGAGACTACAGGTGCAGGCCAGGTACATAGACTTAATCCTGCAAAACTGTGTGATGGCTTGGAAGGCTTCACAGAAGACCTGGCTGATGTCAGTCATTTGGGAATTGCCCATGAAGATTCAGACTGTATAGTTGAGGAAATTATCTCTGAAGATAATGAGAATTTTAAACCAAGTTGTGAAGAGACAGAGAGTGGAAACGAAGGGGAAGAAGAAGAGGAAGAGGAAGAACATGAAAAACAAAGAGGAAGGTGGAACAATATCTCAGCTACTGAGCAGGGAATAGATGAAGACAGTGATAGTGGGGATCTCCCTGTTTCAGTGAATGAGCATGATATAGAGACATGTAGTACTTCTGACCTAGAAGGTTTTCAAAATGCTGCACTTACAGAGAGTGATGACTTTGCCTTAGAGTGCAGTGTTACTGTGGATGACAAGATTGACATCGATGAGGAGAGTACTGAAGGTACTGATGAACTGGATGACTCCCCCCAAAAATTCATACGTACAGCACAAAGTCACATATCCCAAATGATTAACTGGGATGAGGAGGAGGAAGAGGAGGAAGGACAAAGTCTTCTAAACCAGAGAGAGTCTGGTGTTCTCGTAAGAGCTGGAGATGAACTAGATAACACATACACTGGATCTGGAGATGACGATGCACTGTCAGAGGATGGTTTTTCCATCCCAAATAAATACGAAAACAAACATTTTGAAGAAAATGCGGATGAAACTCTGAGGACCAATTTGAGCATGGAGGATCTTACTGAGAAGGGAAACCTTTTTGAAGAGAATAAAGCAGTAGAACAGTGTTTAGAATCTGAACTTTTCTATGAATTCAGTAAACTAGCTTTTACAAAAGGCAAGGTAAGCAAGCTGCATCAGAACGTAAACATACTATTGCTTATGTTCTTTTAGCAGCTATATGAAAGCATTGCTCAAATCCATTGAAGCATTGCAGTTTGTAAAGCCAATCTTGCTTTCTGTTCTTGCAGTCTCCTACAGTAGTATGTAGCTTGTGCAAACGGGAAGGTCACTTGAAGAGGGATTGTCCAGAAGACTTCAAGAAAATTGAGCTTGACCCACTGCCAGTGCTGACACCCAAATTTTCAGTTATTCTAGATCAAGTTTGTGTCCAATGTTACTGTAAGTTTTTTTCCTTTAAGTATTGTTGTACAGAAGAAAAAGATTTGCAAAAAATAAAGAAGTAACCACAGGCTAACAAGTGGTATAGAAGGATCCAATTCACTTGCTACACTGCTTCCAACTCTTAGGCACAATTCTAAGATTTGTGAGGGCTTTAATAGGACTACTAAATAGTTTGTATCTATAGAAATACAAAATGTTAAAATTTATCTTCTACATACTGGCTTTCTGATTAGTCATATAGGCATCTTATTATAATTTTAGGAGTTTAATTTTGGGTGTGTTTTTTTGACTGATGCTTTTGCATTTTTATCTACTTTGAATTTTGTTACTGTTCATTAACTTGTGGTTTTTCGTGAACAAAGACTTCAGTGTTTTAGAAAAAATGGGGTCAAAATACTGCTTTGTAATACTTGTCCACTTTTGTTCTTTTCAGAGTGACTCAACTTTCCTCCTTTCTCTCTCCCCATTTACGACCAGACAAAATGCATTATTTGTCTAATTAATGTTTTTCTTTGAACAGGTATTTCCTTCTGCTTCATCCTTTCTTTCCTTCATAAGTGAACCGTCTCTTGCTTTTTCCTCTCTTCCCCAACAATGTAAACCACTCACTTTTTTCATCTGAATATTTGCTTGACTTTTTCTACAGATAAGTTTGCCAAAAATTCTTGTGGGTTTTTTTTTTTTTTAAGGTGATTTTGCTCCAAGTATTGTAGAGGATCAGGCTCGGGAAGATATAAGACAAAACTTGGAAAATTTCATTAGACAGGATTTCCCAGGTAAAAAGGGAGTTCTGACTTTTTACTTTTGCTTTGGTGTGTTCATATTTGAGTGTTTTCCAGCAAACACCAGCATAACAAACACTTCCTTTTGAGCGTTTAACCTATATTGTTGCCTATATATGCAACACATTAGTAGGAAGGATCGATTTAAAGTTAAGGAGAAAATAGTGAAAGCACATTTTTATAATTATTTTAGCCTTATTCATTAGTCAGACTTCTTGTTGTATCTGCTCTTAGAAACAACAAGCTTTCTAGTCCTTCCTGATGAAACTTAACCGGGTCTGGAATACATCAAAATACAGGCACATCTGATCTATCTGCAGAACATAGCTATTTGAATTTTGTTGTTGTTTTTTTCTGGATTTCTGACCTGTAACACCTGGACTTCAGTTCACCGTCTTCTAAAATTACCAAAACATTTTTTTGGCTAGAGCCTGTATTTGGACAGGTATGTTGCTTTTCCTGCAAATCTCTGTAGAGAAGAGCGTTAGATTTTTTGTCGGTTTTCAGCTCAGACGTGCATGCTGGTGGTTTAATTACTGGGAAACCTAACTTTTTGCTGGATCTGGCAGACTGCTTATTTGAACCTTCAGAAGCAGAGATTCTTTCCTTATCAGCAGTGTTCATAACAAAATAAATATGAGGTACCATAGAAAGATAATGTTTTCATGCCTGTATTAAAAGACATGCAGCGGTTTGAAGCCGTATGCAGTCTTCGATTCGGTGTCGGTATGTGGTTGTAACCCATCACATCTCTTACAGGAACCAAACTGAAGTTGTTTGGCTCTTCAAAAAATGGCTTTGGCTTCAAACAAAGTGACCTTGATATCTGTATGACAATAGATGGGCTGGAAACTGCTGAGGTAGTTTGGAAAGATTTTTTTTTTTAAATAAACGCAAAATGTTACGTTACAGTGTTTATGTAGTGTAATAAGTTTATTATTTTATAAAAGCTTTTCAAGTAAAATATGAATAGGTGCCACAAAGGCAGATTATTTCAGGGAGTTTTGCTATTGGTCTAGATACGAGTCTAAGAACTACTCCATTATTTCTAGTATCAGCTGTGCAGACAAAAAACATTTTTTGTAGCATGAACAACTAGGAATGGGAAATGGATAAGGACTTCAGTCTCCTTTCATGCCTAATATAAACTTTACAAAAGCCTATGGTAATATATTACCTGGTGTTGATTTTACAAGTGCTAGTTTGAAACATATATTTGAATATAAGTTTCAACATAATATTGAAACATATTATACATAATTCTGTATAATATGAAACTCATGCAGATTTAAGCTTGATGGCAAGAAATAAAAGGTTTGTCTATAATACTTGTAGCAGATACAACTTTCAACTTTTTTTTTTTAATGTCTTAGGGGCTTGATTGCATAAGAATCATTGAAGATTTAGCAAAAGTTCTCAAGAAACAGTCAGGTAATTTTCTTAAAATAAATGGTTCTGTTTATATTACTTCATTGATGGAAATCATTAAGACAGAACTATCGAAGAGCTTAATGTTATTAAGAGTGTGATTATATGTTGTGAAGATTTGAATTTAGTTTTGTTTGTATATGTAGGTCTATGAGGTTATAATGCTGTACGACCACATCTGAACTGACTTGGTAATATATTTATAACATACATGCATTAGAACAAACTTTAAGTTAAAGCTTGAGGTTACAAGTTGGTAGTTATCTTGTATTTGTGTGTTCAGTGCCTAGTAAGTTAGTAGCAAAAGTAGGCTAACACAGGTTTGCAATGGGAATTCTGCTTTTTCTACAAGAAATTGTGATTTTATGGTGCTTGTTTTGCTGTATCTCACATTAATATAGTTAGAGTGAACCATCACTGATCAGTTAGAGTGAAACATCAATGATCTCTTAACCTTATTTTTTGTAACATTTAGATTGATGTTTGTTTTATTGGGGGGCTAAATGTGTATTTGTATATATTTAGGACATTCATCATGTTTGACAAATGCTTAAAATAAATATTAAAAGATAACAAATACGATTTTTGTATTAACTAAGATTTTGTTTTGTAGTCTTTTCACTGTGGTTTGGAGTTATTCGTAGAGCATTTGATACTGTTAATAACAGTATTGTGGTCATTCAGTAATTAAACATTTCATCCTAGGTTTAAGAAATGTCTTGCCTATAACAACTGCTAAAGTCCCAATAGTCAAATTTTTCCATGTCAGAAGTGGTCTCGAGGTAGACATCAGTTTATATAATACTCTGGTAAGGTTACCTCCTTTTTTTTCCCTCTTCAACAGAAAAATATGGGGTTTTTTGTTTGACTCTAAGTGGAGTCAATTGCACAACTGTGACTTTAGAGTTGACACTTACCTAGGAAAATACATTAGCTCTTCAGTAACAGTAATAAATAGAGGATTGAGCGTTTAAGGCTTTCTGTAAATGAGAAAGACAAAGTATGTATAACTTAAGTTTTCCTACAGTCCGCTTCCCGTCATTGCTCTTGCTTAGCTTTAGACAAAGAATAGTGATTTTGAACCCAGCTTCTCTGAACTAGAACATGTGTTAGAATATACAAAAACGCACAAGTCCCTGTCCAAACATCTTAAGAACATTTTGGGTTTATTTTTCAATGTCTCTGAACTTAATAAGCCAGTTTCTTGAAATATCAAAGGCAAGTGAATTTTAGAGCCAAGTATTAAACTTTCTTAAGTTTTTGTATGAGCTCAAGGGGAGTCTTGAGGAAGATATAGGACTTAATAAGTCTGAAAGTTTTCTTCTTGAAGTTATGGATCCATATGGATTATGAGACAGTTGATAGTTTTCACATTTCTGGGCTGAAATCTTTTAGTTCAAGAACTGACCTCCTACTAAATGTTTTGAAATTACACTAGTAGATTAATGCTTCCCTTTCTGAAGCGCTGCTCCGTGAATGCTGCTTTGTACCACTTCTGCACAGACTGAGGATGTTGATCAGCTTTTTAATAGAGGTGATGACCTCATTACTGAACACTTCATTTCTCAGCATTCATTACACTACTCAGGGCTTCACATCTGCATTTCATCAGCGCACAACTTAAGAGTTTTTGGTTTTCGTGTTTTGAGCTTATTCTTTCATTTTGTCAAAGCTCCTGTAATTTCTTTATGACTTTCTTATTTTTACAGGCCTTGCATAACACAAGACTCCTGTCATCATATGCAGCCATTGATCCTAGAGTAAAATATCTGTGTTACACAATGAAAGTCTTTACAAAAGTAAGTAAATTTCAGACATTCTAGATGCAGTAGTGCCTGCAACAAGAGACAATGACCGTAAAAGATACAAACCATGTTTCTTTTTCTAGATATGTGACATTGGAGATGCATCTCGAGGTAGCCTTTCTTCTTATGCATATACTCTTATGGTGCTTTATTTTCTTCAACAGAGAAATCCACCTGTCATCCCTGTTCTTCAAGAGGTACAGTATATCAAGAAAGAAACCTGTATCTGTACACAGCATTGACCAAAAGAATGTCAGTGATGAATGTGAAGGGCTTTTCTAACAAGTTTAATATTATGTTTTCAGATCTACAAAGAAGCAAAAAAGCCTGAAATTTTAGTTGATGGATGGAATGTTTATTTCTTTGATAAGATAGAGGAGTTGGTGAGTAAATCAGGTTAATTTGAAATGTTATGTGTAGTTTTGCAAATGAAAAAATTACTCTTAAGAAGCATTATCCTCAAATACAGTGACTGAATATAGAAATGGAAATGGAGTAGCTATTGCTTTGAAAATCCCAATCCCATGCTGCAAACTTTTAAGAATATGGTTAGTTGTAATCCGGCTGAGGAAAAAAAAAATCCGAAAAATCTGAAAAAAAAATAGATGTAAAATATTTTTTTTGAGGTATTACTGATGATTAATTGCTCTGTGTGTCACATTGCTGGGTGGAGATAACTGCTACAAATACTAGGTGCATATCTAGTCAAAGCTAGTTAATCTTATTGAATAATTTCTTATTAAATAGGCACATAAAGTGAGCTAGTAAGTTCTTTTTTAGAACAGGAAAAACTTAATGTTAGAAGTTTTATTAATTCTCCACTTTGGTTGTTAATACGATAAAAATACACCATTTTAAAATCAATATTGAATTATTAATACCTATTAGGAAGGGTGTAATTCAATTGTGTTTCTTCATAAAATCAGAGACTTTTGAGTTTCCAAATTATGCAAATTATTCTTCTTAGTGTAAGTACTGGAAGTAAAAATACTTCTGTCATTTTCAGCCAGTTGTTTGGCCAGAATGTGGCAAAAACACTGAATCTGTTGGGCAGCTGTGGCTGGGACTTCTCCGTTTCTACACAGAAGAATTTGATTTTAAAGAGCATGTCATTTGCATTAGGAGAAAAAATCTGCTTACAACTTTCAAGAAGCAGTGGACTGCCAAATACATTGTAATTGAAGGTAAAAGCCTGTGAAGCACATGAATAAGTGGAATTTCTTTAGTGGCCACATTAAAAATTTGGACCTTCCACAAGGCTTATTTATTTTTCTGTTTCTAGATTGTAAGTTATTTGCTCACTCAATGCAAAATTCCCATTGAGTTTCAGTAGTGCTAAAACTATTCTTAGGGTTTTTTTTCCTGTACTGAGAAAAAGTTGCAAAGCAGACTTCATACTTTACATGATGACAGTAACAGGCAGAAAAATAGATTTAACCAAATCCCTTGGAAAATAAATTAGCCGTAATGCAGTAGAGGTTTTCTCACAAATACTGAGTTTGGCTGAGCCCATATTTACCTGACCTATTTAACCCTGTGTGCAATTACGCCGATTAGTAATGCCATGGTCTCTATGAAGAAAATGCAGTGACACATTTTAGCAATGTTCCCTAAACCACTTTCTGGCCCATTTGACTTTCATGGAAAGAATTTCAATGCGTTTGCCTACATGTTCATCTTTTTCTTTTACAATACTGCAGTCATTTTAGAGCTGGATGGCTCTGATCCTTTGTCCATGGAGACAAATTTCCTTTCAGTAAATTTGCAGACAGGTCAATTTCAGTATATTAATTCTTCATCAGGCATAGCTGCCTTGGGTTGTTCATGTGTATGTTGATATTGCTGGTCCTGGTATGGATTTGACTAATGCCTGTAATGCTTTTTGTACAGACCCTTTTGATTTGAACCACAATCTTGGATCTGGATTGTCCAGAAAAAGTAAGTCTCCTGCTAACAAATTTAGGTACAAAGTGAAGAACTTGACTTAGATATTTTTGTACTGGTTTGTTTGGTGTTTGAATGATGTCTTCTCTTTTTTTGTTTGCTCTTCCGCAGTGACAAATTTTATAATGAAGGCTTTTATCAATGGCAGGAGGGTATTTGGTACCCCTGTAAAAATATTTCCAAAAGAATATCCATCAAAAATGGTAAGTTGCTTCTAAAACCAGTATGTGCATGCTCTTGGGTGTGTTACTTCGCACTTGCAAGAGTGTGGTTACGCTCCTTTTAAGTTTTCTCTCTTAAATTTCAACAGTATTCTAAATATCTCTATGGGAATTGCTGCTGGGTACTGGTTTTGTGTCAGGTGTGAAATGTATTGGCACACAAAATACTGAGCAAGTCAGAGCTTCATTGTACAGACTTATGTGTTTTAGCCCCTATCAAGACCAGATTACCATTTCCTAAAAAAGAGCCTCCAGACCTGGTGGTCACTAGCCCGCCTGTAAAGAAGAGGCCAGTGGCCAGCTAATCTCATCAGGTGTTTCAGGAATTCAGCTACACACACCAGGTTTATTCTTCTCTGTAACTTTTATTGCTCTGCTGCTCAATTGCTTATCTCTCTTGATTCTCAAGTGTATGGGGTTCTGTTGTGAACATGTGATTTCTTCTTCAGGAGTACTTTTTTGATCCAGAGGTACTAACAGAAGGAGAATTGGCACCAAATGATAGATGCTGCAGAATTTGTGGTAAAATTGGCCATTTCATGAAAGATTGTCCCATGAGAAGAAAGTAAGTATAGTTTTGGTATCTGTGTGGAACTTTTTCTTAGGTTTGCTTAGAAGAAAGGTGTCATGGTTTAGGGTCAGGTCTGCCACCAGACCTGTAACAGGTGCTCTCTGTTAAGCCCCCTCCCTCCCGCAAAGGGGAAGAGAAAGGGAATAAGCGACGGACGCTTACTGATTAGAAAAGTAAAACAGCTTTAATGAAAATGCTACTTCTACTACTAATAGTAATAATAAATTTAAAAATTGAATATATACAAAACCAGTATCAAACCCCCCAACATCAATACATCACCATCACCCCCAGTGCTGTGGAGCAGCCCCTGGGGAAAAGTCCCAGGCTGGACTCAGGGGCAGAGGGGAGCTGGGCACAGGAGCTGGATTCTGGAACTTGGTTCAGGAGCACAGGGCTGGGGATCAAAGGCAGGATGGACGGAGTCCTCCTCGGATGCCGACCACTGCAGGAGCAGCAAAAGGGAGGAAGGGGCTTGACCCTCATGATCCTTCAGCTTTATACTGAACATGGTGGATAGGGGATGGAATACCCCACTGGGCAATTCAGGGTCCCCTCTCCTGGCTGCTCCTCCCCTCAGGCGCAGCTTTACTTTCTGCACCCCTCCATGTGGTACACAGGGTTTAGCACTGAGCCTGGTCTGCACACCAGTCCCTGGTTGTAACTGTAAACATGGAGCGTTATCACTGCTGGAAGCAGAAACTGTCTGCAGAAAATATGCTGCTAACTTCAGACAGTGCAGTTAGAAGAGTTTTAGCTGAAAATTAAAATCACTGAAAATATTTAGTTTTGTTCTACCTCAAACCAGGGCAAAAGGCATGGTAATGCTAAAGCAAAACTTGTACTTGCTGAAGATTATTTCCTTTACTGTTGAAATGAAACTATTGATACTGGTTTTGATACTGGTGAATGGTGTTTTTTTTAAATTTCCAGCCTGTGTTAAGACAGTACACTTGCCAGCATCATCTGTGGTGTTTTTTAACAATATTTTCATGGAAATCTGCAACTACTTGGCGTAAGGTAGTAAAGCTGATTGTGCACTTCAGTATGTAAGAAGGAGTATTCAAAGAGAATCTAAATACAGAGCTGAGTAGATGTATGCTGTGAAAAGCATTCATAAAAGCATTTTATATATTAGCTTCTACTTCTATAATCCAGCTGCTCCCAGAAAGGCACATTTCTGTCAAGCTCACAGAATCGTGCAATTCCTATTAGAAAGCAAGATAAGGATTTCACAGCATTATTTTTTCTTAAGCCCACACTTAGAACAATGTTCTACATCCAAGAGGTTTCCTGATCCCGAGTAACCAGGTGTCCAAAATTCAGCAACTTGTCTATAAAATAGTGAAAATGAACAAATAACACTTAAAGAGGACAAAGTCTTGAGAGCCCTTGTACTAACTTGTAAGGTGAATGGAAGAACCTAGCCTGTGTTTAAGGTCTATGTTAAATGCTGCAATTAAAAATCACCTGCACTTTTATGTGTTTGGCTGAAAAGCTACTTACGTCGCATCAGATGAAGCAGCCTTTCTGCTATACAGTAGAGAGCAGAGAAAATCGACAACAGGGAGCTTATATTTTGGAGATTGTTAATTTGGAAATTTCTTCAACTTCAGCAAATATAAGTATCATAGCTGATGACAGCTTGAATAAAGAATGCTGAAGGTTGCATGAAAATCTGTTCAACGTCTCAACTGCTGTCTCAGATGCAGAGGATTTTTAATCTTGCATTCTGGACTGAAATCCCAGGTCATTGCACATGCACAACTATGTTCTATACAATATGAGAGCAAAACTCAGTGGGATTTTGCATCTAAGAACGTAAATGCCTTGAGGGGCTAAAACCAGAGATACCTTTGAGCCCTCTGTCCAGCCGCTGCAAGAGGAGATGCTGTCTGTGGAGGACACACTACCTGGCTGTTTGCTGTGGTTTCTTCTCATGCATTTCCCCAGCATTCACAGCTGCTATGTAAGAGATGTTAGAGCATGTGCCTGCCCTCTTCTGGCAGTACTGGTTTGTGGACTGGAGTTGCTTATGATTTTGTCCTTTTTGCTTGTTTTCTTCTGAACTTGATTCTCCTGTTTTCCTGAAGTCTTCTGTGGCAACAAGTTCATAAGCATGCTAGCTGTGTGCTTTTTTTCATCTGTTTGAAGCCAACCTCATTTTAGTTCCATAAGCGTGCCATAGGCACAGCCTTGTGGGATTTAGTAGTGAGGCTGCCTTGATGATTTTTTAAGCCATGATTGCTCACCCTCTAGCTTCTCTCCAGGTTGCAGTGTCTTGGCCTTTTTAGTATCTCTCCCTTAAGCACTCATTTTCTTCATCATTTTAGTTGCCTTTCTCTGTACTGTCTCTGACTGTACTACTTCCTTCTTAAAATATTGAGACCAACATGCACTATTCAGATGTAGGTACACCATGGGTTTATGTAGCAACCAAATTCTGTCTTCTATTCCTGAAGTTTTATCCATCTTGTCACTCCCTGATCGAGTACCTCCTCATCTTTCCTGTAGGCTCCCTGTAAGTACTGTAAGGCTGCTGTAAGGTCTTATTGGAGACTTCTCAAGGTTGAACAGCTTGTTCTCACAGTGGAGGTGTTCCAGCCTTCTGATCATCTTTGCAGCCCTCATCTGGACCTGCTGCAACAGGTCCATGACTGTCTTGTACTGAAGACACCAAAGCTGGGTGCAGTACTCCAGGTGAGCTCTCATGAGAGCAGAGGGGGACAGTCACCTCCCTTCACCTGCTGGTCATGCTTGTTTTGTTGCAGCTCCAGGGTATGGTTGTGGTTTTGGACTGCAAATGCACATTGCCAGCTCATTTTCTGTTTTTCATCCAGCAGTACTCACATGTCCTTTTCTACAGGCCTGCTCTAAATCCACGTATCACGCAGCCTGTATCCATGTTTGAGATTTGTCCTGACCCAGTTGCAGGACCTTGCAGTTGGCCTTGTTGAAATTCATGAGGTTCATAACGTTCACAGTGGCCCACCTCTCCAACCTGTCAGGGTTCCTCTGGATGGCATCCCTTCCCTCTTGAGTATCAACCATAGCACTTAGCTTTGTGTCATCTGCAAACTTGCTGAGGGTACACTCAATCCCACTGTCTATGTCCTCAACAAACTTGTTAAATAGTACTGGTGCCAGTGTAGACCCTTGAGAGACACAAGTCATTGCTCGTCTCCACACAGACATCGAGCTGAGTGTGATGTCTGTTCATCCAGCCAGTTCCTTACCCACTGAGTGGTCCATCTGTCAAATCCACATCTCTTCAGTTTAGAGACCAGGATGTTGTGTGGGACTGTATCAGATGCTTTCCACGGCTCCAGGTAGGTGATGTCAGTTGCTCTTCCCTTATCTGCCAGTGCTGTAATGCCATCATAGAAGGCCACCAAATTTGTCAGGCATGATTTGCCTTTAGCAAAGCCATGTTGGCTGTCTCCTCCTTATTTTTCATGTTCTCTAGTATAGTTTCCAGGAGGATCTGCTCCACGATCTTGCTGGGCAGAAGTGAGACTGACTGGCCTGTAAGTCTCCAGGTCTTCCTTTTCTCTTTTTTTTAGACCAGGGATGCTCACCTTGAAGCTCATCTGCCATTCTTTTGCCAATTCATTCAATTTAGTGAGGTATTTTCAAGTTCCTTTCCATTGGCATCGCATCTGACTGACCAAAGGAGCCTTGTACCATCTTCAGACTTTGCAGTTTCACTGTTGTCTCCTTCTCTAGGTCGTGTATAAAGAAGTTAGAGAAAACCAGTCCAGCAGCAGTAGCTGTTTCCCCACTGCTAGGTCTTTTAAGTCACACAATTTTAGAAGCTTTTCTCAGCAGAAGAGATTTTTAGAGATACTGCAACTACACACAGGTTCAGAAGCTAGTGAGTTCTGATCAAATTGAGGAGTAGAAAAAAAAATATAGCTGTAGCCCTATTTTTCAGACTCAGTTAGCGTTTTGCTCAGTGTTTCCCTTCGCCTGTCTTTGGAACTCTAGCACCCAGATCTTCTGTTGTGTTTATATTTTTTGAGATACCGTTCTTAGAATTTAGGTGTGTATTGTAATTAACCGTGAAGTCAGATTATTAAATATGTTACATGAGTTTTGCAGTGTTTGGTATGAGGGTCAAATGGGCAGGTACATCTATTCACTTCTTAACACACAGAAGAGATACATGAATTGTAGTGTCTGTAGATAGCACTTGGGTTTGGTTCTTTTTTTCACTCTGTGTGTGTATTTATCTGTGTAAGGCCGCTGAACTCTGCAGCATTTTTCTGCTCCTGCAGACTAAGACGGCGCCGTGATTATGAAGATACCAGAAACCAGAGGTACACAGAAAGCAAGGAGAAAAGAAGCAACGAGGACAAAGAAATTCAGAATAAAACAATGGAGAAGGAGAGCTCAGTCAAGGAGGGAAAGTTGCACTTAAGTACAGTTTTAAAGAGGAAAACAGCAAGGGTTGTAGTGGAAGCTGCCAGAGAAAAGACTCCCAGGCAATCAGCAGAGAAGTGGAAGCGCCTGGAAGACAGAGACTTAAGAGAAAAACGTTGTTTTATCTGTGGAAGAGAAGGTCATATTAAAAAGGAATGTCCACAGTATAAAGGAGCCACAGGTATGAAACTGATCAAGCTGAGTAGTTAAAATAGTGCTTATGGGTCTTGGTATTTTTAACAGGGTTGACTAACAGGTAAGGTTTTTGCTTTGAGTAGCATCATATAAATACTTTTTTTTAATGTGGCCACACTTAGTCAGTTTTCCATTCATCCTCACCTGCTTTTCAGAACTTTGTAGTATCCTAAGATAGTAGGCATGTTGTCTCCTGGCAGGTAAGATGTTTGTAGTAGAAGGGGGATGAGTGTCTAATACGTTGAAATTGTTTCCATTGACTTCACCATGTAAGAGTTGGCTAACATTCAAGTTACAGCTTCTCTTCTCGTACGTCGTGACTGCAGCAAAAGCTGACCCTGTAGCTCTTCCCGTGGCCTAAACCAGGATCATTCCACAAGACCCTAAAGCAACTATGAAAGTGTACAGATTGCTCAGATAGAACATTGTGGGTGAAATGAAATAATGTTCCTGCCAAGTGTAATGGTTTGAAAACAAACC